AGTTATTTCTGGATAAGTCCAACAGAAAGACAACCATTTGAATTTTTCTTCAGGGAGGATTTTTCTCTTCAAAAGTGAAACTTCCCAGAGTCCTACCACTATCTTCTTCAAATGAATGTGCGTGGGTTTGTGTCTTCTCTTTTTGCTATATGTTTCTTCTTCTGCCAAATACCACTTAAGAGGAAGAAACAAGTCTTGACTGATTATAAAAATTTCCCTTTTCCCCCCTAAACGCCCTTTAGTATCTTTTTACGTCTCAAACCATCTGCCGCCCTATTTGGCCTAAAGTGTTCTTCCCGTAATGCCTGCTCCATCTTAATGATTCTAGACAGACAAATGAAATCCCAAACCTGAGATGATAAATTGGCAGAGATAGAATATTTGTAGACCAGTGCCGGAAAGGAGTGGGGTTTGCTCCCTGTTTATATACAAGTGGCTAGCCCTGTCAGGTGTTGGTAAGAGTGATCTTGCTGGTTTCTTGATTAGGCTGTTGTTTACTGTTAGCTTATTTGTTTGGAATTGGAATAGTTGTTGATTGGAGTATTGTTTACATCTTGATTGTTGGTCTAGCATTAATCTTGGTGTTAATCTCTGCTTATCTGGGTGTTGATGAGGAAGTGTATTGTCTTTTTGTTTCCTTTTGTCATTTTGATTGTCTCCTTTGAATGATATGCGCCAAATTGGCACAGCACACATTTCTTTGGGGGACCAGTGTGTGTGTTTTTTTGTGTGCATGTCCACTCTCCTTATCTCTCCTAAAAAATACATCCTCTGGAAACTATTAGTGAGGCATGGATGAGGTCTTAATAATCATGGTTTTACTCACGCAACCTGTTGTGCTAAATAGGGACCCCAGTAAACAAACTAGAAGATTCCAGTTACCTGAACATTTATTCTATAAATACATGATGGAAAAAAGTATTTTTCTTTTATTTCTTTTTTTTTAAATGTAAATATGATAACACTGTTTCTTCCATAAATACTTTACATAAGCACACAAAGTCACATCCATAAAGAGAGAAGTTTCTCAGTCTGCAGACTTAAGTCAAGGGACCAACCAATCAATGACAGTGCCATTTCTTCTGTTCATTAGATGACCTACTTTACTGGCCTATTTTTTAACAAGCAGGAAATCATCAATGCCTTGCTACTGGCATTCATCAAAAGCAGTGGTGAAATCTGAACCAGTTTGCTACTGGTTCGCTGGCCATGCATGTGCGCACATGTGCAATTCACACTAAATGCGCTGCGCGTGCATGCGCAATACACACCAAAATGAGGCTTGGGAAGGTAAGTAGAACAGCGGGGTGGGGTGGGGTGGAGAATCAGCTGTGGCGTGTGATCTTGGGAACCTTTTTAAAAAGTTTTTTAAAGCATTTTTTACTACTGGTTCTGGCAAATAGGTAGTAAAAAATACTTTAAAAAAGTAAAAAAAAAAGGCTTGGACGATCACAGCTGTGCTGCACATTTGTCCGAGCTTTTTTTTTTTTAACTTTTTTAAAGCATTTTTTTTACTACCTATTCACCCGAACTGTTAGTAAAAAAAATGCTTATCAAGTTAAAAAAAAAGTTCCGACGATCAGCTGAGCAACACGTAATTGTCGGAGCTTTTTTTTTTTTTTAACCTTTTTAAAGCATTTTTAACTACCAGTTCCGGAGAACCAGTAGTAAAAAAATGCTGAAAATGCTTGATGTTCCTGGTACTATATTGTTGAGTTGTTCCTAGACTACTGTGCTCTTTCAAGTTTTTTTTTAATATACATATATTGACTTGAATCAATGTGTTTAATGGGTGACCATATTAAAAAAAAATTCTTAAATGGTTTTTTTCTGGTTCTGAATGGACATATAAACGATGACAAAAGAGTGTTCCAAAGATCACCCAATGAAAATATCCTGCAAGCAAGAGGATCCAAAAAGGAGAATCAGGAATTAACAGCAGCTTGTGACAAGTGAATTTGAACTGGGAACTATGCATGCCAGAAGAAAAATTGTGTGTTAAGCTTTTCTATCACAACCTATAGGTTCTAAAGATGCTTACTCGTATAAATGCAGGCTGTTTGTATAAAAATGGGCATACGTAAACTGCATTTTCTAGTTTGGTTCTTAATAAAAGAAAAAGGAGCATGAGTTTCAACTACTAGTTTCGTAATTTAGAAAAAAAGCTTGCAAGTTCTAATATACTTTATAATAGGTCTTCAAAACTTTCTAAGAGGTTTTAGTTCTGAACTGTTCACCATTTGGACTGCAAAAAGTTTGAGCTTTTATTGGGAAACATAAGTCACAGGCACAAAGGAGAAAAACTAGATTCAGATTTACAATTTCATCACTGCTGTATTTAATCCTTCCTATATATTCCAAAACATCCTGTATCTGAACTAAAGTTAGCTTCAGAAGAAAAGATGTATGCCAGTCATTATCTGTGGTTTATTCAATGTTTTTAGTAAGTCTTAATCCCTTAAAACTAGGCAGGGAAATCATTTGACATCCAAGTATTCATTGTCAGTAAGTTTTCTTCCTTATGGCTATCCCTTATACTTTCACAATCAATTAATTAGATTGTTAGATATAGAGTGTTATGTCACAAGAATTCCTTCAATGGATAAGGAGTTACAAAAATCTCTTCCTTCTTTGCATAGAACACTTTTAAAAAATCTTAATGATTCCAAAGGAACAATCAGCCTCGTTAAATTTGCACAATTAATAAGTTTTTTCTAATAGATATGTAGTAAATTTTCCACAAGATGCTGGAGTCTTGCCAGCAAGGACACCTGGGCTTGCTTTTCCCCCAATGCAGCTGAGTTACGATAATTTCCTTGCCTCGCTGCTGTCTCTTCCTTTCCCAACCTGAAACTTTTAATTGTTTCCTGCTGCTTTCAATTTTTAAAAGATTGTTTTAAAATATTAACCTTCTTGTTTTATTTTGGAAGCTACTTTGAGAGGGGGTTTAAACTGTTATGCAGAGGTTCTTCCTGGTTCTTTTTTTAAATCTATTTATCATAGGATGCTGTTCACCTTTCCTTAGCCTTCACTAGCTAGCAAACAGATCTGAGATACATTCTCAGACTTGCATATTGTCCGGACTTCAGTTTTCCTAAACTGTGAGAACACTATTTTCTCAATTATTAAAAAGACATAGAATTCAAATTTATCCAGGATAGAAATACATCCTGACTCACAATATATTTTAAAATATTTCCCTGGAGTTCAAGTACTGGTTTCCTTCTAATCCTGTTGCTATTCATATACAGGCTGAAAGTGCTTTATTTCTAATTACTGTTAGGTTGGAAGGAAGTTAGGTAGGTGGCAGTGACTGGGAAAAGAGGAAGGAAATGGATCGAAAAAGTGGACAACAACTATTACACAAGAATAGTTTTCTGCTGATTCCAGGATGAGGGAAGCGCTCTATAACTAGGAAGTGAGGAAAGGATCTTTGACTCTTTAGATATGTTATCCTTTCAGCAAAATTTATCAACAGTTATCCAAGAAATATTGTATTTCAAAAATATAGGAGTTGAGGGATTTAATAAAATGGTCATAATGCAGCAGCCCTGATTTGGCATAACTGATTGATTGACTGACTGATCAATTAAGAACCTAACATTACAATGGAACATAAAGAACATTTCACTGCAGGATCAAAGCAAGCAGACAGAAAGTGACATGGAGATGTGTTCCCAGATCTCATGCATCAGATCCGATGGATAGTACGTAAAATGCATCTGGAAATAATATTACCACGAATTTCTGTGAGTGGTCTATGGTAACAGCCATGAATTGCTGAGGTAGTAAGTACTGTACAAATACTTTAAATAAATAACTAAATGCACGAAGTATTGTAGCATTTATTAGCGTTAATTAGAACTGCTGTGAGACTTCCATGGGTGAAAATTACTTTTATAATGCCAGTAATAAAGGAATAACACCTGTGGAACTCATTTGAAGTTGCAAATAAAGCCAAATTATTAGTGACATAATACATTATTTAAATTAAAGACAAATTTAAAGCTGTGAAAGGCAAATACCCTGCCCAAAGCAGGAATAAGAGGACAATGGATTGTTAGGATCATGGCAAAAAACAGGCACTTAGCTACATTTAATATATGTTAAGGTCTACTCAGACAATGCCAAAATATTGTGAAGTTCAAAGTAGATGAAATCTCACTCCCTAATGTTCTTGACTGTGGAACTATGACAGGACCACCCCACAGATATTTACCTGAAATCTACCCAACTTTTTAGGCATATGGCAATACAGGTAGTCCTCATTTAACCACTGTTTATGATTACAACAGTGATGAAAAAAGTAACTTGGAAATCAATCTTCACATTTACACTCTCTGTAAGTCTGTAAACCAAAGAAAAGTTGAAGATTGAAAACACAATCTTTCTCGGTCAGATGCAATTTGAACTGAGCCAGTTGTTTCACCAATTATTTCTCATGGTGGCTGCTTAGCTCCAACAACTGCTCCCTGTTGGGGCCCTAAGGAGCCCAGGCAGGCAGGCAAGGAGTGGTTGGGAGGGGAGGGGCAAGTAGAGGCCGGCGAGGTGCCCCTCAACATGAGTGACATCGAGTTGGCCATGCCTACCCAGTCACATGAGCACCCAGGCAGTCATTAGGCAGATCATATTAGAGGTCTGCGGGATTTAAAATTATGAATTTAATGGTCCCTGAGGTCTGAAAGATTGATGACCCCTGTTCTAGAGCCTTGTTTACAAATGCTGTCTACTGGCCTGAAGGAGGGGTTAAGGAAAGCAATAGGTTGCAAAACACTGTGGAACTTTACAAAGGTCATTTACTGGTAGTACCTTTTATTTCTGACCATTTTTATCATTTCAGAGATGACAAATTCTTCCATGTTCAGGAATGTGTGTTCTCAGCTGTTCTAGCAACTCAGCTTGCTATGGTTTGGGAGTCAGTCGTCTACACACTGTTCTAGATGGGCCATAAAGGAATCTTACATGAACAATCCATAACAGAAAGCATTTTCCTTTCCTACCTTAACATCAAAGGGCTCGTCACATTTGCTGGGATCTTCCCTGGCCAATATGCAACTGTGGGAACACGGTGTCCTCCTTCCCAGGTTGTCTGCTTTGCTGAGCTACCACCTGTAAAATTTAAAAAGAAAAAAAAAAACCAACCCACATTTTCAGATGCTTGTTGGCCAATACTTTTATATTCAATTAATCAATCAAAACAGAATTATGAAGTAAGGGTGTAAAAGAAAGTAACCCCTTTTCAGCCAAGAAGACAAAATGTCATAGGAAGGAAAACACAAGGGATCTATTAAGACATGTAATGATACACCCGCCGCCCCCCAAAAAAGGAAAACAATTGCATATACAGAATAAATGTTTGTGCAATGTCTCAGTATTGCCTCATTTTCTTCTGAAGAGCCAAGACCCCAAGGTCAACTCAGTGTCTGAGATATTTCTGGATTTCCTCGCCAGCTCAAGGTTGACTCATCCTTCCATCCTTCCGAGGTCAGTAAAATGAGGACCCAGATTGTTGGGGGCAATAGGCTGACTCAGTAAACCGCTTAGAGAGGGCTGTAAAGCACTAGGAAGTGGTATATAAATTTAAGGGCTATTGCTATATGGCAGCTTCTGAAGACTCGAAGTAGTTTCAAAGGGACAGCATGACATAATATGTATCAAGCTATCTTTGGATGCAAGTTTTACACTTGGCTAAATCAATTTCTGCCCCATTTAAATGACCTTCTTTTAGGAGCCCTTGAGAAAGCCTAGTAGACCCAAGATGCTGCAGAGAACAACTTAGGGAATGACATCCATAAAAGCCCAGTTTTTCCAGTCAGTGGATTTATTTACATTTACAGTACCTAAAACTGGGTAGCTCCAGAACAATGTTAGACCTGGGAATTTGCCGTGGAGACAGCTAGACTTGAAGGTGCATATTATGAAAGATGCTGCTAGATTAAGGAGGATTAGACAAATCAGTGATCAAGCTAAGGAAGGGTAGCTCCCTTTTCAAAGAACAAGGCCAAACCATGAGGATTCCCTCCCAAGTAATAAAAACAACTTTAGAGGATATCAAAACTTAAATGTTTTCAGCGTTTAAGATTTGAATTTGAAGAACTGTGTCAGCAAAACTATATGAATGGAAAAAAAAAACCCACTTCCCACAAATTTCAAGACTATTCAGCTTTGCTTCCAGGTCCAGATGTCAAGATGGGGATGAAGCGGTGTATGTCTACACTTCATTTATGTAATAAGACTTGAAAATCTTTATTGTACAAACTGTTTCATCAGACTGCAAAAACATTTATATAATGATAAACCTGGCACAGCTGCTTTGTTTAAAAAATTACCCCTCCTGCCGGCACTGTAGGCAATTTCCCCTTTGCCTCTTCACACAGAAACATAGGAAGCAGGTCAGACTAATCTGGTTTTCTCTGAAAGGTCTTTGGCTCACCTCCAAAACTGGCAAACTTCATTCCACCCCCCCCAAAGCATTCACTTCACTATGGTTGTCCAACAGAGCAGAAAACAATTTGGCCAGGATTTACATCTTCCAAAGCATCCTGATATACAAAAAACTGTAATAGCTTTTCACAGCATGAAGCAGATTGAAAGTCAAACCCTAGCAAACAATTGAAAATTTGGCAACCACAACCTTACTTCTGGCATTCAGATAAATGACAGACAACTTAAGCCACACCCTTCTTTTAGCACTTGAGAATAGAGCTGGAAGGGGTTTTCTAGCCCAACCCCCTGCGCAAGCAGGAGCCACTATACCATTTCAGTTAGGTGGCTGTCCAGTCTCTTCTTAAAAACCTCCAGTGGTGAAGCACCCATAACATCTGAAGGGAGGCTGTTCCACTGGTTAATTGTCTTCACTGTTAGTTTCCATCCATTGTTTTTTTGTCTTGCCTTCTGGTGCTTTGGAAAATAAACTGACCCCCTCTTCTTCGTGGCAGCCCCTCAAATGCTGAAATATTGCTATCATGTCATCCCTAGTACTTTTCTCAAGACTAGCCAAATCCTACAATCGTTCTTCATACGTTTTAGTCTCCAGGCCTTTAATCATTTTAGTTGCTTTTCTTTGTACTTTTTCCAAAGTCTCAACATCTTTTTAGCAATGTGGTGATCAAAACTGGATGCGGTGTTCCAGGTGTGGCCTTAGTAAGGCTTTATAAAGTGGTGCTAACACTTCACGTGATTTTGATTCTGTGCCTCTGTTTATACAAGCAAGGATTATATTAGCTTTTTTGACTGTTGCAACAGTGCTGGCTCATATTTAAGTGATTGTCCAACTAGGACTCCAAGTCTCTCTCACAGTTACTGTTTTTGAGCCAGGTTTCATCTAATCTGTACTTGTACCTTTGGTTTTTCCTGCCTAAGCATAAAACCTTGCTTTTTTCCACCTTCAATTTCATGTTGTTGGATAGGGCACATTGTTTAAGTTTGACAATATCTTTTTGGATCCTGAGCTTGTCTTCTGGGATGTTGGCTTAATGTCATCTGCAAATTTGATGTTCCCCTTCTATTCCCCCGTAAATCTAGATTTTAAAAAAATCAATTATTCTCAAACAGATCTTGCTCTAATGACTGTGCTTATAGAATAGTTGCGGGCAGCAATAAAGCCAGTTCTCCTGCAGATATTAAGCATAAAGGAACAAATAATGAACATATACCGGGGGAAAAGTTATGTGTGACCCAACCTATCTGCCCTCACTTACCTGAACTAAGTGGCCTGTTGTTTTTTTGATGCAAGTGTAGATAGCAACAAGTCCCTGAGGGTGGGGGAAAGAGTATAGAACTTGCAAGTGGTGGCATGTATTATGACTAAAGTCCTGTCCTTATGTGCATGCACATACAAAAATCTCCTACAGGCTTTGTCCTCCCACGTGGAAGCCTATGTATTTAGGGAGTGGGGAGATGGGAATGATAAGCAAAATTCAAAAACTGAAATAGAAGTGTATACCAGAAACCATTTTGAGAGGATTAACCTGGCTTCTGGAAGGGCAAAGCATAACAATTACAGGAATGTTGTTTTTGTTGTTATTCCTACCAAAACTGTTATTCCCCAGTTAAGATGGAGGTATCTAGCTGATCTGAGTTGAGCTATTAAGCAGGGTTGAATTTGTTTAATATTTGGATGGAAAACCACCAGAAAATCCAAGGGTGAAGGTTAGGTTTAGAAAAAGATAGTGCCAAACCACTTCAGACTATTGCCAAGAAAGCTAATAAGAAGTACCCAAGTATTATTCAAATCAAGTCACCACAACTCAAACTTTTTTGAATGAGTTTTGCTATTTCTATTTATTATATTTCATAGCTGATGTTGATTTTCTTCTTCATGATTTGAATCCTACTGAAGGGCTTGCAGCTGTAAATGTAATACAGGTAGTTCTCAATTTACAACCATTTGTTTAGTGACCATTCAAAATTACAAAAGCACTGAAAAAGAGACTTGTGACTGTTTTTTACACTTATAACCATTGCAGCTTCCCCATGATCACATGATCACAATTCAGACACTTGGCAATTGACTCATATTTATGACTGTGGCAGTTTCCCAAGGTCATGTTTTACAACCTTCTGACAAGCAAAGTCAATGGGGAAGCCAGATTCATTTAACAAGCGTGTTGCTAACTTAAGAACTGCAGTGATTCCACAAGAAAGGTTGTAAAATGGGACAGAACTCACTTAACAACTATCTCACTTAGCAACAGAAATGTTGGGTTCAATTATGGTAAGTTAGTAAGGACTACCTGTACCTAATAATGAATGAGATAATCAATGATGCTGTTATTAGTAATTGGGTGGTTGTAAATTATTCCAAATTTAGACAATCCATTTTTTTTTCTAAATACTCATGGTATTGCATCTACTGCCTCATACCACTTTTTCCAAAATTTGTGATTTTTTTTATTTCAAATCTGGTTATTTTGTCATCTTTTCCAATTCTGTTCATGTCAACATTACTGTCTCTTGGGATGGCTATATCAAGAAATGAGACATGGTTCTTTCCAATGACACAATGTCTGTATCATCATCATCATCACATCATCATCATCATCATCATCATCATCATCATCTCATGGGTTATTCCTGGCACAAAACCATAAAATATGTCTTTGCTACTAGACTAATTCAATTTGTACAGTATAGGCAGTCCCCAATTTATGACTGCGATTGAGCCTAAAATTTCAGTTGCTAAGCGAGACAGTTGCTAAGAGAGTTTTGCTCCATTTTATGGCCTTTATTGCTATAGTTGTTAAGTAAATCATTGCAGTTAAGTTAGTAATACCATTGAATCTGGCTTCCCATTAACTTTACTTGTCAGATAGTTGCCAAAGATGATAAGTGACCCCGGAACACTGCAACCGTCATAAATATGAATCAGTTGTGAAGTATCTGAATTGTTATCACATGATCATAGGGATGCTGCCACAGTCGTAAGTGTCAAAAACGGTCATAAGTCACTTTTTTCAGTGCTATTGTAACTTCAAACAGTGACTAAACAAACTGTTGTAAGCCGAGAATGCCTGTACTTTGCTGCTGTAAAAGGGCCTCTGGATGTTGCAGCATCAGAAGTTAAGATGGGTAAGTCGTCCTGTAAGCCGTCAAGATATCCCAGGCGGGAGACAGTAAAAAACAAAACAAAAAACAAGTGTTGTTCTGTGTTGCCATGATACTATAAATACATGAAAATATCCAAAACCGTGCCAGTAACTGAGGTCAACTTGAAGGAAACTTTATTGTAAAATGATTACTTGTTGTGCCCTTAGCTTACATGGAAAATTGTGCCCTTGGGGCTCTCTGTGCAATTTCAAATGTTTGAGTCCCGATGGAATATCCCTTCATTACAAATGTTGTTTTCCCTGGAGTAAAAAGATTTAGCTCACCCAGCTTGGTTTCTTTCAGATGCCCGTCGCAAAATTGTTTGATTTCTCTCTTGACAAAACCCAGATTTTATGGAGCTCACAACTGGAAGCACTGACTCAGTATAACAACAGGTACACTCGTGACATACTTCTAGTTTTGCTTATCAAATCTAAAGGTTCTCCACTGAAAAGTGGGCTGAAGGAAACAAACTCAATTTAGTTCCTTCCCCCCTCCAAATGCCTTGAGTTCAAATAAATGGCGGCCAATTGAAAAATTGACCTTTCTTTCCTTCATGCACTGTCCCGAAGCACAAAGAATATCAAATATATATCAGCTCAAATAGAGACATTTTCTGGATCAAATCTTTGTGGAACAGAAAGAATTCATATTCTGGCATTTATTTCAACAGAGGCTATTCAAGTTCTCTACTGCATCAAGTTACAAAAAGATTCCAGGGAAAATCTGAGAGATGACAGAAACAAAATGTTCCTGAAATGAGAGAAACAGGAGAGAAACTGAAAAACCAAAAATGGAAAATTAGCAGCAAAGGAGATGTTCCTGGAACAATTTCAGATGTCACTCGTTTCCAAAGAGTGCCTCCTTAGCCGACCACTATTTCAGTTTTATTCACCACTGACATTAATCATTCTCTCACACACTGGTCTGTTACAAACATCAATAATCATCATAATCATCATCCTAATAATAATAATAAAACCCACAGTGAGGCACTACCTTGATACTGTGGGAATTTCTCTATGAATTTTCCCAACTGATTTTTAAAGACTTCTAATGGAGTAGCCGCCTTGTAATAAGCTCCATGAATTAATTATTTCTATGACATAGATTTTATTTTGGAAAAGCAAGGGCTGCCAATCTGAGACATTCATATGCGTGAATGAAATGGTATCATGTGTCGAGATATGATTTTTTAAAGCTTACAGAACAGTTTTTAAACAACGAAAAGAAACTCTGAGACTTCCTCTGTGGGAGTTCTGCCACAGTCCTTTTTCCACTTCTATATTTGGAAATGGACAGGAAACAGATGTGGAAAAGCTAGCTACTGCTATTCCCAAAGAGTAACTGGGGAAGTATGACTTTAAGAGCATCAGTTCATGTGTACTCACTCACAGACATACACACCAAGAAGGGTATCAGATACAAAACCAGGAAATATCTGCATTTACGCTGCACCTTCCTGTCTGCAAAAGCAGAAATAACTATCCCTCGTCCTTTGCTGTCTGAGCTGAGAGGACGTTAGTCCCTGTTCTGATATGGTAGGAGTGTGCAAAGTTCCATTACAACAGCATTTTTAAACCATGAAAAATAAGTGTGCGTGGAACCATGAAAATAAAAGGGATCCTCATTTCAAACTTGATGCCGCTGACGAAATAATCTAAGGGTCAAATACAATCTCAATAGCATGAATAAATAATAAAAATGGCTAATAAAACAAATCATAAAATAGTTTGTTTTTGATGTTCCATAACATTTAAATGTTTAATAATAATAAACATAATATTTCTTTATCATGTTTGAAAGAGTGAACATCACACAGACACTCTGACAGCATTTTTTTTTTTTTAATTTGATTTATATGCCGCCCTTCTCCGAAGACTCAGGGCGGCTTACAATGTGCTCAGCAATAGCCTTCATCCTTTTGTATATTTATACAAAGTCAGCTTATTGCCCCCACAAACTGGGTCCTCATTTCACCTACCTTAGAAAGGATGGAAGGCTGAGTCAACCTTGAGCCTTGGCGAGATTTGAACCCTGCAGTAATTGCAGGCAGCTGGTCTTAATAAGCTTAATAACAGGGTGCCTTAAATTTCATAAATGACTGCTGGAGGCAAAACTGACTATAGGATAGCCCTCTAATTTCATGCAGCGATGTGCCCAGCAAAGCATGTTTCAAAAGAAGAAAGCTACTAGATTGAGAAGGAAAATGTAATAAAAAAAGAAAATGCAACCCAAATTTTCTAATCAGAAAAGCTGAAGAGAACTTTTAAAAAGTGACGCTACCTTTTTTTCGTTGCCACATCCCTGTATATGGACCAACACTTCCTGCATAGTCACACTTCTCGGACCAAGGACCATTGTCTCCTAGAAAGATAAGAGGAGACCCTATTGATAAACAGAACAGGAAGGTGTCTTTCATTGGAAACAATGGGAGCAGCCATAGCAAGGACGGTTCAAGAGCCAAAGAGTATAGTTCCCATTTCTTTCAACTGAATATTATTTATATTAACAATTTCACATGATTAACCATGCTTTATCAAGCACCTTTTTCTTATTCCAAGGGTCAGCAACCTGCAGCTCTGGAGCCGCATGTGGCTCTTTCATCCCTCTGCTGTGGCTCCTTGTCACCGATCGGTTCCACAATTGATAGGGCTTTTCAGTTTAGGACAGGTAGAGGAAAAAGGATGCCATGCTAGGAGGAGACTCTATGGTAGGGAAACCGGACTTCCGGTCGGCTCCAGAATTGAATGGGAGGCTTGCATTAGGACCTTTGTGGCTCTTTGAGTGTTTAAGGTTGCCGACCCCTGTCTTATACTATCAAATGGGTTATATGAAGCTGGAAAGGAAGGTACAAGATTATAAAAGATATGGAAGAACCTCAGAATTCCATCCCTGCAGGAATTTACCTATTCCTTAATGCAAGAGTTTAATAAATTCTCAAAAACGTTTTCAGAGAAAACAAAATAAATTATCACTTTTTTGTTAGAATCCCTGACCTACCAAAATAAAAAGTGTCATGTTAGGTACAATTCTAAAATAAAAGTTAGACAGCAGAAACAAAACGGGTAGCTTTCATTGAACAGATGTCAACAAACAAGCATGGCGATTGTGCAAAACTTGGTCAACTTGGCCTAACAAATTTATTGGCTGGAGGAAAAATAAATAGCAAAGGCTATCTCAATCCTTCTTGAAATTTTAACCTATAAGGATGCTTTACAAGGGACTATTGAGCCTGAGAGAATAGTCTTCAAATCCTGAGCTGGGGTAGGATCTGGAATGACTCAGGAGTTCACAGCCTCCCCAGCAAGGGTGGGCTTTTTCCAGATGATGACTAGTTCAACCAATTTCCCATCTTTTCCTGTTTTGCACGTTTTTGATCTACACCAAATCGGAGCTGGCATATTCTCCTGCAGAATAACAGAGGGCTAATATGGAAATTCTTATACGGTGTGCAGTTGGGCACCCCTTCTTGTGTTCATTATTTTACTCAGCAGTTATAGCTGACAAATATTGTAATTTGTCAAGATCTGAACATTTATTTCTTTTCCTCTTCTATTTACATTTACATCTATTCCACTTACTCATTATTCTTATTTTCATTCTTTCTTTTCTAATATTTACATTGATTTTATTTTGTCAGGAAATATTTGTCACATTTATATGGCTGACCATCTCACAAGAGTGTATCTGGATGATGCATAACAGTGAATTTTTTTAACAAAAATTTCTTTCATAAAATTTGTATATATATTTTTTTAAAGAAAACCTGGCTGCCAAACCACACTGAATAGCAAATGGGTCCCTTGCCTTCAAGAGGAATCTGAACAGGGCTATGAAGCAGGACAATTACAAACTCTAAAAGATTAGCATTGTTTTTTTCTTAAAACAAACTTGCAGAGAGACTTTTATTCTGAGTGAGAAGGAAAGTTATTTGCCACTTGAATAATTCTTAAAGATAAGGAGACAAAACAATAATAAGAAAGAGTTTGCCTTGGAGTTTAATGAACCACATTTTACTTCCCTCACTTGGGAGAAAACAACTCATTAATGGCAGACTTCGGAACTGGCTATTTTGTTCTTATGTAATGAAGTGCTTAATTATTAGTCAAAGGTTTGTGTTTTTGGCCAGAATTGAAGAATTAGTTCAAAGAAACAGTGCCTGTAGCGAACAAACTTCAAAACGGGCTACTGATACGTTCAAAACCCCTTTAAAATTATAAGTAAATTGGGCAGTCTGTTCATTGCCCACATTAAATTTGGTGACAAGAAAGAATCTCTGCCAAAGTTAATCTACACTGCACAGGTTTTATTGAGAAGTATCTAGAATCAGCCAGTTGTATCACCTCATCTGCTTCATGGCTAAAACTCAGCTACAGCTACGTAAGTATTATAAGTTCAGAAGGAGCAAAGATACTCAAAGATTCAAAGGAGAATAGAACTGTATGCTATGCCCATAATCAGTTGCACAAATTTACACTGAATCTGAAGCCCTTACTCTGGCTTTTTATAAAAAAAACAAAGAAAAGCACTTTCATAAAAGCAGAACTTGTGTGCTGATTTCTCTTTTCAGATAGGAGCCCAGCTGTGTGGAGAAAATAAGTTTACTCAATAGAATTCAAGACGTGATGGGTCATCCAAGACCATGTGACATTGGAGGATTATTGAAGTTAAAAGGAGGAGGCACTGCCCAGTTCCTTAAGTAGAAGACCCAGGAAAAAGTCAGACACAGATTTCACAGATGTACAAATTATTACAATACATCTTGAAGCACCAAAATACCAGAGCAGCAAATTAATCTGAACATCAATTTTACAGTTCCAGTACATTAATCTGAACATTAATAACAAGTGTTGTTATTCAGCTGGCTTTCCCATTGACTTAAAAATCATTCCTGAGAAAAACCATGCTTGTTTATGACTAAATCTAGCAATGGATAAGGTTGTTAAAAATATACTCCACTCTACCGCAGCAACTTTTTAATTTGTTCCATGAATTCCTAAGGGCACGACATTTTTATTATCAGAGATTCATTTGGAGGTAAGGAGCTACCAGCTGATCCTTCAAAAGGAGGCCTTCCTGAATCAATCTCCATCTTTTTGTCTCTAAAGCTCTTAGAACCTATTGAGTGTATGACAAAAATAAGTCTCTATGGGATCAATTTTAAGAATTGGTGGTTGTTTGCAAGAAGCAGGTATCTGTCATAAATCATCAGTCTGTCAGATACTTTTGGAGAGCTCTATCTTCTCAGAACCTTTATCTGAGTTTATTAAATTTGTTTGCTGCCCATCTTAGCAGAAGTTCCAGGGTATCTGGATGAGGCTATAGCCCCAGATGAAAGAGTTCCATTCTAGTGGCTAGTCTAAAGAAAAGAAGAATTAGGGGTGACATGATAGCAGTATTTCAGTATTTGAGGGGCTGCCACAAAGAAGAAGGCATCAAATTATTCTCCAAAGCACCAGAGGGCAGGACAAGAAAAAATGGTTGGAAACTTTCAAAGAGAGAAGCAACCTGGAATTAAGGAGAAACTTCGTAACAGTAAGGACAATTAAGCAGTGGAACAGCTTGCCTTCAGAAATCGTGGGCGCTCCATCACTGGAGGTTTTTAAGAAGAGACTGGACAGTCACTTTTCTGAGACGGTATAAGTTCTCCTGCTTGAGCAGGAGGCTGGACTAGAAGACCTCCAAGGTCCCTTCCAACTCTATTCTATTCTATTTGGGCTGGTAGTTATGCTGTTCCAGAATAGGTAGGTAACTTACTCACTTCTCCTGGAATCTGTAGGCAACAGAATAAAACACTCCCTTCCCAAATACAGGTGGTCCTTCCTTGATTTATAATTCATTCATTGATTCATTGAGTGATCCTTTGAAGTTATAACTGCGCTGAAAAAGTGACTTATGACTATTTTTCACACTTACAGCCATTGCAACATCCCGATGGTCACCTAATCAAAACTTGGATGCTTGGCAACTGGTTTGTATTTATGATGGTTGCAGTCTCCTTTTGTGATCTTCTGACAAGCAAGGTCAGTGGGGAAGCCAGATTCACTTAACAACCAGGTTAGTAACTTAACAACTGCAATGATTCACTTGACAACTGTGGCAAGAAAGGTCCTAAAATGGGGCAGGGCTCCCTTAGCAACTGTCTTGCTTGCCACCAGAAATTTTTGGCTCAGTTGTGGTTGTAAATCGAGGACTCCCTGTAAATGGCTGAAGTTTATTTTTAACCAGGGTGACTAGGTACAAGCGTTTTAGTATGTGTTGCTAGCACAAGCCCAACAATGGAGTAACAAAGAATAAAAGATTGTTCATCTTAATGAAGTCAAAGTCTGGAAACATGGATTATCTGCATTGCAATACGAGACTGAGTTCTGCCTATGGAATCTAACCTTCATTAACTTCTAAACAATCTGAGTAAAGAAAGATACAACGGGGGGGGGGAGAGACAATGGAAGAAAATGAAGCTAACTGTAGAACAAAAGCAGCACCTAAAATAAATAAGAGGGGTCGTGATACATCTATTTATACTTTTACTGCATGTGGGCCTGGTATATTCGAGCAGTGACTTAAGAGCTATCCATCAGGGATGTTTTAGTTTCCTGCACTGGATCTGATCCCTAGCTACCACACATGAGACATTTAAAATACTTCATTATATAACTTCATGATATAATTTATCAGGATGATTCATGCTATTGTATCCAGCAAGTTCTCTGGATAGACTTTCAAATGTCCCCACTAAAATGACATCTCTGGGCCACCTGTACTGCAGTGAGGGATTCTTTTTTTTTTTAACTTCACCTGTAAACCAGAGGAATGTATCTTCCTTTGCTGTGATGTCAACTACATCCTTTATCTGTCCCACCAAAGCATCCATTTCCTTCAAGTATGTTCCATAGGGATCTTGGCAAGATGGATTCCAAGGTGCCTCAGACAAAACCAAAGGCACATGCATATGAGCCAGAGCAAGATATAGGAAGAAAGGGAGGCCCTTCTGGCTGGAAAATGAAACAAAATAAAGGTTTGCAACAGTTAATTATGTGGAGGACCAACATCTTTGCTCAGAATTATTACACCTACACTTATTACACCTACCATTATTAGTGGTAAACCAGTCTCACACAGCAACTGACTAAAATTCCAACAGTTGAACAGGTAGACTTTGATTTACAACCATTCTTTTCGTGATTGTTCAAAGTTACAAAGACATTGAAAAAATGTGACTTATAACCGGTTTCCATACTTAAGAGCATTGTAACATCCTCATGGTCATGTGACCAATATGCAGGCATTTGCCAACCGGCCTGTATTTATTGACAGTTGCAGCGTCCTGTCTGATCACCATTTTATAATCTTCCCAGCTGGCTTCCAGCCAGCAAAGGCAATGGGGGAAACCAGGTTTGTCTAACAACTGCACGATTCATTTAACAACTTTGGTGATTTGGTTAACAAATGCGGCAAAGAAAGGTCGCAAAATCAGGTGCAATTCACTTGACAACCTGTCTTGCTTAGCAACATAAATTTTGAACTCAATTGTGGTCGTAAGTCGAAAACTGCCTCTACTTTTGTATTTTCTTTTCTTTGGCAAATCTCCTTTCCTACCCCAACTTTCATTTATCTCATTTCCTAAACCTGTTCATATCAGCTTCCCTAGCATGCATTTATTAATAAGAAGGTGACCAAGTGACTCCGAGCAACTGTTACAATAATACAAATAAATATATTATAGATTTATAAAAGTCTAACTGTAAACTGGAGAGAAAGAAATTCTCACATTTTCCTCACAGGAAGAAATTATTGTTAATTCACATTTAATTAGAAGATACATTAAAGCAGATACGTGCAAAATTTTGGGAATCAAAGCTACATTTTCCTTTTATGTGATGGGGAACCATGGCTTGCAATGGAGCAGAAATAGGCAAAAACAAAATTGGATTAATGTTCTTTTTAATTAGAATTAAATGCAGTTAATGCCTTTATTCTCTCCGTATTTAATAATTTTCCTTTTGCTTCCATACTTGATAACTTCCTAATTGGCTGTTACAAAAATCTCTTGGCTATAAAAGTTGGATCGAAGGATGTTTATGACCATACATGACCTAACGAATACTGGGAAACCAAAGGCTGGAACTCATGCTACTTTTTCCTGGGATGAGTGGAAAAACAGATTTCATTTTAACATTTTCTGGGATTCTTTTGTTTGCACTTTCTGTCCTCTGTTGTCATCTCATAGCTTTGAGAACCACTTTGCAATGTAAGTTGCAAACTATTGAGCAACTTATTATTTTTTTAAAAAAAAGCTGACAGGAATAATTTCCCCTTCTTGCACCGAAATTTGTCATCGCTTGAACTTTTCATTTCCCTAAAACAACACATAGGAACTGTTTTCTCAGCACCATTCCTGTTTGGTCTCTTTTGCAGGGGCTGAAGCAAGAGTTGTACAATGTCATTTTTCTTCCCCAATCTTGTTAACTAAAAAGATTGATCCATACTTTGATCCAGAGAGCTTTGACCCACACTTTCATTTCTTTTTTATTTTTTATTAGAATTTTAAATAGAATAAAAGTATAAAGAATGAAAGGAAAGCTTATAAAATAAAATACAAAATACAATTATGAATTCCTCCTCTTTCTATCAAGTAGTTACCATCCTATTCCTTCCATTCCCTTCCTCCTTTTTTTATTCTTGAACCATACCTTGAGTTACCTTGAAATAAGATGGGCAGTCTATACATTTTATAAATAAATACCGGCATTTCTATAATTCTACATCACATATAACTTTTGGAATTCACCTTACTGATTTCTATATCACCAGAGTTGAACTCTAGGAAAAAGTTTGGAAGACTTCCTAATGGCAACCTTTCTACAGTATACAATTAAAGCAAACACATTTTTAAAAACCAGTAAATACTAGTCACAGGCTCTTGCTCTGTTTTTTATCCCCTTTCATCTAGACCAGGGGAGTCAAACTGGTGGCCCGCAGGCTGGATGCGTCACACACTGGCCACGCCCACCCCGTTTAGCGGAGAAAAAAGTCACAATGTCATGTGATGACCTAACGCCACGAGTTTGACATCCCTGATCTAGGCGGTACTATGTCCTTTCTACATAAAACATATAGATCAGGAAGTTTTTCTGGCAGTGGGCATCAAGGCAGTTTTGCACAATGCTGCAGTTGTAAAACAATGCATATAAATTTAGAATAAAAATGGCTGAAATTACACGAGAGCTCATAGAACAGGTATCTTGCAGGCTTTGATTATTTAAACTGTCTAAACTTTCCATTTTTATAAATGCATACATACATATTTTAAAATAGAGGTCAATGGGCCTTATCTAGCGGTTGCATCAGCAAAATGGTGCCTGATGTTAGCAGCTCCCAGGCAGAGTAGACGGAAGAAGCAGGAATTTACAAGAAATTTTATTCTTCCCTGCAAGATGTCTATCATACAGTTGTAGTACTATTACTCCATCTTGCAGAAATCCCCCAAGGTCTCATAATGTTGTAACTTTGTGGTCAAAAATTGAATAAGAAGTTGAATTACTGAGTTTTGAATGTTCCTCTATATTTATCATTCCTGGGTTTTGCTACTAGGAGAAATAGTTGAACCATGTGGTCCATTCTTAATGCTCACTTACAAAGTTTTGGGTTACTGAAATGTATTAGAAAAAATGTTTACCTTGTAAAGGTTTATATTTAATTGCCAGGTCAGGAAATATTAATTAACTTGCACTGAAATGTTAACATTATCAATTGCTCCCCAGTTGACATCATTCTGTAAGACAGACAGGGATTGTTATATTTAAGAGCTTCAAAAGTATAAATCCTTCTTTCCTTCCTTTTCTTCTTAGAAGCAGAAGAAAAGGAAGTCTTAGCATGGTTAAATTTGGGAAAGGATATGAAGTGTGGGAAGCATAAGTGGGCTGGGAACAAAGCTGAGAAATCTTTTGAGGGAATAATTACAGAATAAAATTCTATTTCAAGCAGAGTTTATAATATTCTTTAAATATCTGCACCAATTCGAAAACTCAGCTACATTAAGAACGCTGCAGTTCTTGAGACACTGATGAGTTTAGAGCACCCACATCTACATACCTTATTTTTCATCAGAAACAACACGTAGGGTTGCCAGGTGTCCACTATTTGAGCGGACAGTCCATTTTTTTCACATTATGTTCACTATTTTTTTTCACAAAATAGTGGACATTTTTTTTATTCAAAAGCTTTATGATGAAATGGTACGTAAGTTTTGCGAGTCAGAATTCCATGAAGTTTTGCGCCATGTTCCAACACGTTGGTTAAGTTTGTTTAAAGCGGTCAAAAGACTTCTTTTAAACTGGATACCTCTAAAATCGTATTTTATTTCTCTTGGATCTGATGAGTGCCATAAGGTTATCTGGAACCTTATTTCGGATCAGGAAAATGAACTCGCAAAGGACGATGAACCAACAATTTCAGAATCGTATTTATATTTCACGCACTTCTTCATGTCAATAATGCAAGACACCCTACTAAAGCTGGAAAGCAAGAAAATTCTTGCATGTGATCTTCACATTATCATGTGTAAGCTGCGTGATTCTTTGCAAAAAAAAAATACGATGAGCAGTTTTTTGGAATGAAAGTTTTATTTGCCTTACATAAAAAACATTTGCCTGAGAATGCCATGCAAAAGTTCAAGAAAGAAGCCATCAACTTGTATCAAAGAGCCATTGCGTACCTAGAAAAGTGGTATAATTTCACCGATTCAGTATATGAGATGCTAAACTGTTTCAATCTAATTGATCGCAATAATCCTCCAACTTTAGAAGAAATGATGAACATCTGGTTATTATCACCATGGCGAGAAGAACTTCCACCCAACGCTCTCTTCGATGAAATTTCTGCCTTAGAAGAAGTTTATGTTCATCTGCAGGGCGATTCATCCTGTGATAAGTGGACGTACTTTTTCAAGAAAGAGCCAGCTCCGAGTTTACTGAAACTGTTCCAATATTGTGCATCAATTCCGGTATCAAATGCAAACGTTGAACGAATTTTCAGCGTCATGGGAAATTTGTGGACTGTCAAACGTAACCGACTGCTTGTACCATCAGTTCGAAGTGAACTTTGTATATTTTTTAATATTTCTCAACGTTGTACTGAAATTAAAGAATTATTCCTTAAACACAAAGAATTGATCAAAGCTGCGCAGTCAAATAAAAAATACACACGACAGCAAAGTAAAATGTAATTTAATATTTTACATATTATTATAATATATTTGATGTTTTGAATTTTAAGTAAAGTTTTGAAGTGATTATTTTAATACGTGTTAAAATGTTTGTAAGAAAATATATAATTTAATTGTAAATTTTTTTTTATTTTTTACTACTTAACCCTCCCCCTGCTTGTCCGCTATTTTTTGGAAGCAGACCTGGCAACCCTAATTAAGAGGGTTAAGCAATCTATTTACTTTGAGCACAGATTACAGTCACTGCCCGCTTCAATTAAGAGCAGTGGCTCGCTCTTTCTTTCTTTCTTTCTTTCTTTCTTTCTTTCTTTCTTTCTTTCTTTTTCTTTCTTTCTCTCTCTCTCTCTCTCTCTCTCTCTCTCTTTCTTTCCTTCCTTCCTTCCTTCCTTCCTTCCTTCCTTCCTTCCTTCCAAGTTTACAGTTTGATCTTAAATGTCACAGTTGTTATTTTATTTTTTTCTCTTCGGGTGTGCAGTGGCATCTATGAAAGAGGGGCCAAAGATCAAAAAAGGCAAGATGGCAGGAAGTTCCTTTTACACAGAGAGCAAGGCCAATACAATACAATTGCAATACCAATTCCACCATTTTGTCTGTTTTTATTCCTCCCACAGACAACGCTACCAGTGTGACTCTCCGGCTAAAAGAATTACTGTTCTTGAAATTTAGCAATTTCTGAATTACTAATCCTGAATTAAATCTAAGTGCACCAGTTTTTTTCCTCAGGGTTAATTGAGAAAGATTCTTGATTTTTGTCCAGGTGCAATTTTG